TAGAGTCATAATTATAAACACTTTAGGGAATGAGGGATCACAGAAAAGGTACGTTTCTTGAAAATAAAGGGGATACCCCTACAGTGTTTGTTATTTTTAGGTTCATTGCGATTAAAGACGAAAACATTTAAAAAAGCAAACCTGACAACAAGCTAATTTTTTTCTTAAAAAGCGTTGTCAAAACTGCCTACTGTAGTTGTTTATTTAGGAAAATGGTGGTAATCTTTTGTTTTTTTACCATCCTGGTATGACCCATAATCAGTTCATCATTATTTTTTTATCTTTGATTCTTGAATAGACCAATGAAATACCAGAGAAATCAAAACTTGAAGAAAGAGGAACTTGGGGTAAGCAGTTGGACTTCCTGCTGGCTTGCATCGGTTATGCCGTTGGTCTAGGAAACATTTGGCGGTTCCCGTATTTATGTTACAGGAATGGAGGAGGTATGTTTGATATCTTATTCCCAAAAGATTTGGTTTGACATCTCAAATCTGTCACTATTCCATCATTACATTCTTTACATAAACGTCTACTTTATTTAATAAGCACTCATTATAAATGTCAATGATTTTTTTTTTGTGTTTGGAAATAAATTTTAAAAGTAATGCATAATAATAGTTGGCATTTCAGGTTAATTTTGAGCTAGGAATTTCCTCTCGCAGGTCACTAGAAATGTTTGCCATTCTAGGTCTTACCTTGGGGTTTGATTTATAATTAATGGCTTACACCTGGATTTGGATCATTGATATATATGGTGCTATGGTATTTTCTATAGAATTGTTACTAAGCATTAGTCATGGCAACAAAAACTAATGAACAGATAATCAATATAATTGACATAAAATATTAAATAAAAATTAAGTTCCAAATGATATTTCATTTCCAATTATTGTTGGGTAAAATTGTTATGCTGGAATTGAAAGCTATGAGGGCGTGCACTCTTGGAAAGAATTTTATTTTAAATGTGTATGAGTGCGTGATCATTCTCTTTTTATAAAGTCTTGTTTCATAATCTGATCTTTCTATAAATAATTACTAGGTTTTCTTTCTATAAATAATTACTAGGTTTTAGTCAAGGTTAATTTGTATCTTAAGAACTCAAGTGGTCAATATACAATTGGCCTCTGAGAATTTCACCTTGCATTTATTTTTGTAGCCTTCGCTTTTGCAATTTGAACAGTTCCAATAACATGTAACTTACTGTATGGTGTCAAGGGTCAATGAAAGAATATCTCCAGATTTTGTAATTTTTGGTATGTCACCAAGAAGCTTATGATGGTGAATATATACAGTAACTTTTGTAAAACTGTTTACTAGTTGTTTTGATTTTTTAAATTATTTATTTGATGTAAACACCAAGGATAACCCATGAAAGTCTGAAGAAGACTTATTTCCAGTGGGGGTCATTCTGTTGGTGATTGGGCATTATACCAGGAGACAACACCCTACTCGATCCTGAAGAGCGTACTGCGTTTTATGGACAAGGGCCATAATGCACACAGGACCAACAGCCTAAACATCTCATCCGAAAGACGACGGTGTGCTATAATTGTAACTTGCATTCAGTGTCCTTGGGCAAGACGTCTTATAGGCATTGTTAGTTGTGGGAAAAATCTTAACAATGACAGGATTTCAACCAATGTCCCTGGAGTAGAGAACATCATTAACACCAAGATGCAACCCCATGTCTTCACTTCTGTTAACTGATGTACTGTAGTATAGCCTGTTGGTTCATGTGTTTAAATGTCATCCACAGACTTAACTGACACTCCTCTACTTGTGTTGTTTGTGAGCATAAAATTATACTGTAGATAGTCATAGTATTGAAACGCTTGTTTTTTTTATCTTAGAAGCTGTAAAATGTGGCCTTGGTTACTTGTAACACCCCATTATTATTAATAATTTACAGTACCATCATTTATAATAACTAGTGAAAAAATTGTTGGCTTTTCCCTCATCACAGGGTCTTTGGGATCTGTCCAAAAAGATTAAAAATAATACTAAGGCCTAAATAGGGAATTATGGCTGAATGGTGAAACACAAAAAGTAAGGTTTGCAGGGTTGGAAATAACGCTGGTCCGCCGGCCAATGGCTAGTAAAATGTATGTCGGACCTGTTAATAATCCCAATAACAAGTCCGCATGACCAGTTAAAATTTCAATGAAAGTCTGACAAAATACCTAAAGTTTTACTCATTCACCTCTTAACGATGTCTTTACAAAATATTTCACACAGATAATGTCAACAAGATCGCTATTTTCTGTTTATTATCATGTTAATGTCAGCTACGAACAACCTTGTGCTCAGTACAGATGATCATCATGCAGTAGCTAGGCCATGGAGGAATCCATGGCTAGACTTACAGAGGAAAATCACCTTCTCCGCATGTTACAGCGACAAGGAGAATTTGATTTCCGTCTGTGTGTGAAGTTAAAACATCCATCTCACAATGCAATGTGGGACAAAAAGTTAATAAACGCAACGATTTCTGTACAAAGCATAGTCCCAATAGCGTTGTCATAGAGATTATCTATTAATTAAAATGACACACCAGTAAAATGTTGGATAAAGTGATAATTACGCCTTCCATTGTTTTAATAAAGTGCATTATCGCCTTATGAATACTTAAAAATTAATTGTAATCAACCTGAAATGAAAAAGGAATTGTTTCTACGATGGCTCTTTTTCAGCAGACGTTTAATTCGGATTTGGTATGTCATTAGATTCATATATCAGTCTACATGTAAATTACACTCAATTCCCCAAAAACATTGCTAATTACGGAGGAAATTTGCAGAGAATGACATTTAAATTTGAATAAGATTTATTTTAGATTTGACTCTAAAACAAAACCATGAGGGTTTCTTAATTATTTTAATAAATTTCTTTAATTAAAAATTCAGCAAGCTGTCACGCATTATGAAAGTTTGGGCGATCTGACGTCATGACAGCCAAGCACATGGGATTTTTGCCCAGCCACATGATCCCACAAAAAAAATTAACTAATTAGCGGGCAGAGTTTAGGAGGCACGACCTGATATTTACAACGCATTTCGCATCGTGACCGCGAAGAATGTGTTGTGTATACAGTTTAGAAAAAAATGTCAGACCGAAAATGCACGTAAAAACAATATAAAAGCATTCATTTTATTGGTACAGTAAGGGGCCGTGCACAAACGTTTTGATCGCGGTATGCGCGGAAATACCGCTTTCGCGACTTCCGCGGGAGATTTAAGACCGTTATATTCATGAAATTTGCATAAATGTCTACCGCGGTAGACTAACTTTTGTGACGCAGGGCATTCTATAAACAACAAAATGATAGTCAAATCGTCAATGAAATAGATCGTGCGATTGATATTCAGGGTGCGATTGATAATTGGGGCCGTATAGGCCTGGCCTATGCGGTAGGACTAGGAGGCCTGGAGTGCAAACGCGGGTGTAAACCAACACGCACAAAAGCCATGAACTAGGCCTAGCTGGAGGCCCTAGACTAGATTCATAAAATTCCACTGGCAAACGAGCACCCCAGTAATTTACCTACCTTGGTGTTTGACGTCCGTGTATGTTTGCAAAGCTCACTGTGTAGTCAACATTGCTATAGGCCTATGCATATAAAAAAGATAGGTCCACCTATTTGGATAGACATGAAGTGTACAACAAGTGAATGTGTACACAACCAAACACAATGGTGTGCAACACACAAACTTGCTGCGCGCTCAAACGAGAACGAAAAAAATGTCTTTGTGCGCCGACGTTGTATGCAAGAATACGTCACCATACAGTGTAAAACTGTGGTTTTTTTTTTTTGTTTTTTATTTTTTAATTTTGTTTTTTATATGGAGAAATAAAGTCCGAGTATAACAATTATTCTTTGCCAGTCTATCCTTTATAGTATAATTATATACAATTTTCATACTGACATTGACTTTTGTGTCGAAAAACTTGTTGGAATCCCGCGTGAAGTTACTGGTGGAACTTCACGCGGGAATACTGCGGTGTGTTTGCTTGATCGCCTCATTATACGAAAGTCCATTGCAATCAAATCATGTATGCCTCATAGAATACAACTACTATCTAGTAAATGAGCGGGAATACCGCGGAAGCTTGGTTTGAACGATAATGTTCACTGCAATCATGTATAACTACAGGTATATCTATAAGCGAGTATACCGCGGTATTGTAGCTAGCTTGACTCGGTGCTAGGATGCCTTGAAGATCGCCATGGAGCCCTATTGCAATCAGAGTCAGGAATAGCATTATTATAATAAGCGGGTATACCGCGGAAACTAGTTTTTTAACTTGGTGGTCGGATGCGATCATGGGACTATTTGGCGATCAATAGGCCAAAAACTAGAACTTTATACCCGGGAATAACGCGGTAGATTGATTTGAACACAAGAGGCCCATTGCCAGTCAAAATCATGTAGCCTACAGCTGCTAAAGCGGGAATACCGCGGAAGCTTGATTCATGTCATTGCTATTTGTCACGGCCCACATGTATTTGTCTACTATAAAAGTCACTGGGTATACCGTGCAAACGGTAGCTATTTAAAGCTTGACTTTTTACAAAACTTGTTTTACATTTGTAATATTAAACGGCCCATTAGTTATATTAGCATGGTAACATGAATTTATTTTTCAAAATCAGACAGCGAGCGAAATTGCTGTATCTCAGAAGTTTTGTAGACGTTTTTCTTTGATTAGTGACCTTTTGACCTCCATAATTGAGAGTTACAAGGCGAGTCAGTCGAGACAGCCCGAGTGGAGATTCATATGCAAGTGTTTTGTACGGGGAAAGAATCGCCACGCAAAAATATTTTTTATAAGCGCGCTCTCAAGCGCGCAGCACAAACCATCCAAATACATTATAATGCGTCGCGGCCTTATTCGCGCATTGCGTGACCAAATCGTATACAGCTGGACCTTCATACGCGGGAATACCGCGGTAGCTTGATTTGAACGTCAGGGATAGCCTATAAAGCGTATTTACCGTACCGCAATATAGCTTGAGGTTTACTCGAGAATATCGTGTGTAAACTACTAGTAAAATGAGCGGGAATACCGCGGAAGCTTGGTTTGAACGATAATGTTCACTGCAATATTATCATGTATATCCGCGGCATTGTAGCTAGCTTGACTCGGTGCTACTAGGATGACTTGGAGATGTGAACGCCATGGAGCCCTATTGCAATCAGAGCCAGGTATACATTATAATTAGCGGGTCCCTGGTATACCGCGGAAACTAGCTTGGTTTTAAACTTGGTGGTGGGATGCGAACATGGGACTACAGTACTTGAGGGTCATATCAAATATAACTAGAAAGTCATACGCGGGAATAACGCGGTAGATTGATTTGAACACGTAGGCCTACACAAAAGGCCCATGCCAATCTTGTAGCTGCTAAAGCGTGAATACCGCGTGAGCTTGATATAGGCCTATA